GTCGACATTTTCCTTTCATTTTCACAAGTGGCTCAGCTTGGCTTTTTATATTGGCATCCTGATTCAGCTGCTGGATTTCTGGAATCCGAGTGAAAGGTGGTGGAATGCGGGATCCTGGCCCAAACTCCGTTTTGGCTTTCTATGCAAACAAAAACTCGTCGCTCCGGTATTTACATAAGCCTAGACATACATGCATACATCTGGGTACACCACACACACACTCATGTGTTTGGCGAACAAATACATAGATGGCCATATAAAAATATCCACATGACTATGGCTGTCTCTGCTCAGTCAGTTGTATTCATGCCCTTGCCAAGTGTATTTAAATTTTTGTCAGACGTTTGCATAGCTATATTGAACCATTCAATAAAAGTTTTATAACATTCCAGGCGGAAGAGATCGTTGCAATTTTCCTTTAAATTGTTAGTAGCACTATAAGAGACAAAATCCAATTTTTTGAAATTCGCATTAATTGGTACATGTGGCATGTGGTGCTCTCCATTTAAGAGTAATCTATGAAATGTACATTTTAAATGAATTTTGGTACGTTTCCATATTATTACATATGTGCGTTAAACCAAGAAAAATGGAAATAACTGATGGCTGAAAGCTGGGGAGATTCTGCAGCTCCTTGCAGGGGAATTCACATATCTATGCTCACATATATCTCGTGTAAAGTGGTTTGTTTTGAAGACAAATGCGCTCCGCAAGTCTGCGTGAAATTCCCCCAAATTCTATTATCGAAGGACTTGCGTTAGTGTATTTAGGGATTCGCTGGTCGAATCCTTTCAACCCATCCAAATGCGTTGTTGTGGCTGTCGCTTCTACTCCTGCGGCTGCTGCTGCTCCTGCTCCTGCTCCTGCTCCTGATGCTCCTGTCTCTTGAAGATATTTGGCCAAAGGCTTTTAGGACAGCTCAGGACTCGTTTGGCTGTTAGTTGCCGCTTCCAGCGAACATAAAAATGCCCTTAAAAGCAACAGAGACAAACGAAGGACGAAGGACTACGGACTCTCGGCCGAATCTAAGGAAATAAAACGAAAACAGCCAAATATAAAACTTATACCGAAAAGGGATTGACGGATATAAATGGTGATATGACCTAAGGTCATTTGTATAAAATTAAGTTGAACATCATAAAAAAATAACACACACAGACACTCAACAAATGACAAAACTTGCCCACAGCTAAAAGTGGGCGTGGCCGGGAGGGGCCATAACGCCCTCCAGTTATTTCGGGGCTTAATCAAAAAAAACTTCAATTCGATTTACAATAAGCCGGTCGGCGTGGCGCGTACAAACCGGAAAAAGGAAAACTAAATTGCGATTCTAACAATCGGCGGGGGAAAGTTTTCATTTACGTATTTTCCCCACCCGTTTCTCAGCTTTTCCGTTCGACTGCCTCGCTTTCCTACCATCTTTAATAAACATTTTTATGCCGTATGCTAATAAAGATTCTGCCTCTCGTCGGTGTCTCTTCTTTGGCTTTTTGGGGGCCCAGAGCTATTTGCCGAGCTACAGTGCTCGGAACCATCCGCCATCCTCCATTCTCCAGCCCCCCACCCATTCATCCACTTTTAATATCCAGCCACGTATGTCATGGCAAGGAACCATTAAACACAAAACACAACGAAAAAGTTAAGTCGCGGGAGGGGGAAGGTGGAATCGGGGGGCGGCGGTGGAAATGTGGAAAAGTGGAAATGGAAAAGGGGCCAAAGAAAAGCAAAGCAGCGAAAAAAAATTATGCCCCAGACGCCGCTGAATTTTAAATGAGCCTTTATGGGCTTCATTTCAGCGTGTAAATTATCTCATTTGTCAGCAATTGCGCTGTGTGCGTGTGCCTCCTGTCTGTGTGTGTATATGTGTGGGTGCCCGTGTGTGTGCCTGTGTGTGCGAGTGGGTGCCTGTGTGTGCAAATCCTAGACTATATAGTCGTGTATGGGGGCATATAGTGCCTCTGTCCATATGCGACATGTACTCAGCCATTTGTAAAATGATTCAATGACGTCTCCTGGCATTTAATGAGATAAGCACTCGCTTGCCCCGATAAGATTGCGTGGCATGCCACCGAAAGACAAAACGTGTAGCATATCGTATTTAAATATAGATGTCGTTCATCATACAAGCGGGTTGATTCATTAATTTCGAGCATTTACTTGAATTACAGCCAAACGAGGGCTTATTTTTGGGGATTAACTTTGGCGTGCCGCTCTTTTGTGCCACTGAAGTTTCACAATTACCGAAATGGTTTATACAAAAAAGTTCGTTTACAAGCCACTTAGGTGTGACAGCCAGAATAAAGACAAGCCAAACATATTTCCAGAAAGCACCAAAAGTACCTTGTAAATTGTTTTTTATAAGCTTACAAGTTACTTTGACATAAATCCCTCCATGTTTTCCTGCTCATTTGGATTTTTCGGTATTTTCCACGCAGTCTTCCATATGATGGGTGTTTTCTTTAAAGCATTCATATTTAATAAGGATCAAATGCAAGATGGAAAGTAAAGTTAACTTATCTCTTTAATGAAATTAAGATTTATGAGTGAATGTCAAGCGGATATTTACTTAAGTTCATGCTTACAGCATGCTTACAAAGCAAGAGCGCAATACTTTTGCTGGCCATGATAATCCTGTTATGACAATTGAAACAATCACATTCAAATGAATTCGTATTTGACTTTTGACCGAGAGTGCGGAGTGCCAAGTGGAGGGATCCCTGATTACTGGCTATCTAAAAGTCAAAACTTTCGGTTGGCAGTAGCAAGTGGATGCAACAGCAACTTGCGACCGCTGATTGCATGTCGCCTTGGAAAAGCTGAAAATCGTGTTTCCGTTTTCGCTCGGCCAAAAGCGACTTTAATGGCAGCTCAAGTGGCGAGCGGGAGGAACTTTTTTGTTAGTTTTTTAGTTTGTTTTTTATACATTTCTCCTTTTTCTCCTCATTTTTTTTTTTAGTGTGATGCGGTGGAGGGGCGTAAGGAAATATGAAAGCTATGTTGGAGGGAAAATCGGTTCTCAAAAGGATGCGAAGAGGAGAGCCTTTCTGGATTGATGATGCTGCAGGTTTTCCTCGTATTTGGAATCGATGATGTGTGTTCCCGAATTTTATGGGACAACCTTTGCACACGCTGCCATATAGTAAATTTATATCCGCTCGAACAATGCCGGTGCAAGGGGATCGAGCTGGAGCGCCGGAGTTACGGTCATGCCGGGCCGGAGACCCAGACCCACCTTTTGACAAGGGCATAATTAAAGCATAACAGCAACAAAAAGCAGAATGGGCGGAGGCATAGGATACGTTACCGCCGCCCACTTCGTCCGCGACGAATACCCACCAACTACGGGGTGAAAACAGGTTGTTACTTCCTTGCAAACAAGGTTCCGTTACCGTTATGTATACGGCCACATCTACATCTACATCTGCATATATATGCATGTCGGTGAGTGTACGTTGTACATCAGTGTGTGTGTGTGTGTGTGTGTGTTAGTGTGTCTGCGGAGGCTACAGTTTTGGGGAAAAATATAATAGCGCTGCAAATGAACATTTTATTATCTCACCATTGGCGCGCACACTTAAGGGTTTTAGGGCAGGGTAATATAAACATAAATAATTAATTATGTTTTCTTATGCACCATAATAATGTTCCATGGCATACGCTGCTTAGAAACTAGGCAACTTCTAGGCAAATTTCCAGGAAAGAAAAAAATTTCTTAGAAAGTTTTGACAAAACGAATATATTTCACTTGGTGAAATTCTGTTCAAGTATAAGTTTTGTTGCGATTGATAAACCGATTTAATTAAGTTTATATGTAGTTACTCTCCTAACTATCTGTCTCTTGAAAGAGCAACTTTTTATAAGCATATAAAGATTCGATATGCACTTCCAACTGTTTCGACTTTGAATTAAGAAAGTTGAAGCGACGAAAGACACGACTGCTATTTGCTTGACCGCACCTGTGCGCTCAGATGTGTAAGTATGTGTTGCTGTGAGTTTGGCGTATAAAAGAAAGCACGTTATTGCCAATTTAACTTACATTGTGCATGTGTCTTTAAACAAAGATTTATGTACCCACTTGCATGCACGCCGTTGCCCAGAACTCGTTGCTCCATACCCGCGATTCCTGTGTAGCATACATTTGGGGGCGCGATTTTTGGGGGCTGAGCTCCTTTCGCTGTAGTGGTGAGGTCAGGTGCTCCGGCAATAACTCGCTATGGATGGGTAGGTGTGGGTGTGGATATGGGGTGCCCACTTAAATCAGCATAATGATATGCACTTATTGTTGTGGCAAATTTGTTGCGGAAGTGCTGCGAAAACCGCACAGGATGGGGCCGTGTTTCTGGACTTTCAATTCCTAATCCAAGATCCCCAGGATCATCGTTGACTCCTCCCAGTCACACTTTTCATATTAAAACAAGATAGTCGACTTCCCCGACTATAGAACTTCAACCTTGGAACATTTCTTAATTTTTTTTTTTTTTTAATTTCTACAACATCTTTACATCAAACTAATTACACAAATTTTATAGATTTGAATGCACTTTTTTAGTGAATTGCGCCAAAAACATTTAGAGGTATACCACATCAAAATCCGATTAAGATAAGTTGAGTTATGGAGTATAGAACTTCAGCCCTGGGATATTGATTAATTTTATTAAATTTCTACACATCATACATCAGAAATATTACAAAAAAAAATAAAAAGAAAATCAATTTCTAAATTTAAATGCAGATTTTTAGAGAATTGCGCCAGAAACATTTAGACGTATGCCACTTCAATATCTGATTAAGATAGGTTGAGTTATGGACATGGCCAGATCGACTCGGCTATTGATCCTGATCAAGAATATATATACTTTATGTGGTCGGAAACGCTTTCTTCTGCCTGTTACATAATTCAACGAATTTAGAATACCCTTTTACTCTAACGGGTATAAATATGTACAAAATAAAAAATTTTTTCCGCCCCTGTCGTACTTTCACACTCAGTTGTCTCTGATTTAAAACTCAGTCACAAATTTTAAACTAACGCACATCAGAAGTTGAAAAAGTCGGAGGTGAAAATCCAGATCGAATATTGTAATACAGAATAATATATCACTATACCACTAAAATGGCCGAGCAGCAGACTAAGACAAATTTCGATTCTGATCCAAAATCCCGAAAATTAAAGTTTGCCGGCATTTGCAAACTGAATAATGAGGAGCTGTCGAGTCTCTACAGGATCGATCAGTTGACCGACGAGGAGCTGGCCTCCGTGGGCCTGGAGAGAAGCTCCCTGATCGATGACTATCGTCTTCTGCACGAGCTTTCGATGATGAAGCAAATGGAGAATGAAGTCACTAAGAGCCCCGCTCAAACATGCAAACAAAAACCCATGGCGTTGGATGAGCGATTCGGAAAACAGATGCACGAGTGCATTCCCAAATCAAAGTACAAATTTACGATGCTCAGCCACTTGATCATGCTGATGAGTTTGGATAAGCAGCCGGAAACCATTTTTAGCGAGCAGGACTTAAAGATAGATGCGGATTACCATGAGGACGCGAAGGTCGTGCAGCTGATGCCCAAAGAGCGTCTGGATCGCCGCCTTGAGTCGTTCTACGATCACCTGGAAAAGATGTTCCTCCACGGCGATCGCAAAAAGGCCAACGACCTGGTTTTTAACGCCATCGTCCGTCTGGTTGACCGCCGAACTCCTTTGGAATCCAGACTCAATTATCGTACTTTAAACCAATGTTAAATGAACTTTCAATTTTTCATTCAAATGCAAAGCTGATGAGCATGTAACTATCATTGTGACTTTCCGCCAGATTTCTGAAAATCCATTTGTAAACAAATTTTCGCATTTTCGATAAGGGTTATGATTTTCCCCATGACATGACCAAAAAAGGTGGCAGGTTTACCTTTTCCTCAACCGCATGTCGATTTCTTCATTTGCCTAATACGAGTCGACGCCGTCATTAATCTAAAATATGGCTCACACACACGCACCCACTCCGACTCCGACTCCCACGCACACACACACACACGCGCCTGGCGTGCATGTAATTATGCTGGAAACTGCGGTGTGGAAAGGGGTTTTCAGGGGGGAGGGTTACTCGGAATTTGAGTGAGGGAGCAGGCACATTGCCACCACAGAGACACACATTTGCGTAAGCCTTGTTAATCGTGACAAAAGCTTATTGCGGGTTATTTGGACTACTTGTTTCGCATCCGGCGCTGGCACAACGAAAATCAACATTGCCACATGTAAATACACACAGACATACGCACACATATTTTCTGTGCATATGGCTGCGCACAGAGAGACAAAACACCCAGTATATTGTACGCAAAGCGGTTACACGCAGTCAGGATTTGATTTCATGTTCGCATGATTAAGGATTTTACGTCGGCCCATCAGAATGTTTCAAATAAAGGGCTTATGCATTTGCAAAGTGGTTAGCAGCATAATGCTCATTAGGAAAATTCGGTTTTATGCCATGATCTGCTGCAGGACCTGAAATTTGTTGACTACATGGTAATGTTCAATAAAGATGTTGCTTAAAACCCATATAAATCGTTATACAGGGCTTTGTTTGATACCTATTCTTAATTATAAGGAAGTATACGAGATCATTTTTGTTAAATATCTAATACTCAGTTCTTATTTAAAATAATGTATAACAAGTTTCTATGCATTTAGTATTGGTTATTCTAGATAGTTATCTACTTGGAGCATTGGGATTGATTGTACTTACTTTTTTTCCATTTTTTCTGCCAGTGTAGAGTTATGTGTGCGTATCGGCCTGTCGGTTGGGCCTGTCAACCGAGGGGGAAAGATGCCAAGGAGCTCGCGTCACTTGCACACATAATAAACATTTTAAACATTATTCTCGTGTTAAGCAGCTCCTTGGATTGGTGCTGCCACGTTGCTGCTGTTTCTGCTGCTGCTGATGCTGCTGCTGCTGCTGCTGCTACTGTTTGATGCTGCTGTTCGTTTTCGGTGAAATTTACGGGTTTCAACGAATAATGGTGCATGTGGGAAATGAACGTTTTGTGTTCGCTTTTGCCTGTCATCGCAGCTACGCAGCAGAATCCTCGCTCGCACAAACACTCGCACATTCCGAAACATTCGCCACTTTATCAGCATTTTACTTTAGCCGTTATTACCAGAGATCCACTCACAGTACATTAGCACACCCACACAAATCCACATCCGCATCCACCACACCCACCCATCATCCCATCATCCCACAATCCTAACAAGGAAACCACTACGCTCGAGTCCTCACGCATGTTGTTAGTCTCTACGAGGTTGCGACTCTCCAAGGAAATTAAAAAACAACTAAAACAAATTAACAATATAATGACAAAAGTCTTATGTGAACTGTGGCTGCGGAGCCGCCGATGGGAAGATTTGGAGCAGATGAAGTAGGCCTAAGACGAAGTGAACGCAGAAATGGAAAGGCACGGCGAGAAAAATTCTGTTTAAAAAATATGCTCTTTATTAGTAGTTTCAAAGAAAAGGCGAAAAGCATATCACTCTCATCACTCTACATTTACCACACTAGAATACGATCTTAAAGACCCAAGGATAACTCGGAACTTCAAGTCATTGTAATTTGGTCCTCGCACGAATTATTTAAATGTCTGTTAATTAATTTAAACACCTTGCACTGATGCTGCCCCCAAAGGCAAGGCATTAATAATACATGATATTTACGTGGGAGTATTTTTGCTGTGTAGGCAAAACTGAAGAAGGAGGATTGGGTCTCGCAGCTAAATGGCAAATCAAGCATTTGCACAAAATTGAATTACCTACCCAGGCATCCGAGTTTGCAGGCCCATTACGAGAAGTCGAGCCACCGCATACACTCACCCACCCACTGGCTGGCACCGCCCACGTTAAGTATACGCCATGGATTCGGGGCAATTGGCACTTTTGCAGTGGCAACCGGGAATGGCAACAGCAATGCTTTTAATGATGATCGATTTGGGTAAACAATGAAATTTCCGCATTCAAATTTTATTGCTGGCAATCAGCGAGGCTTCCTGCTCACAAACGCACACACAAATGTCCATATGCCGGATGTGGATATTTATAAACGATGCGCTTTAATATTAATCTATGGCGCAACGCCTGTTTGCTGTTTGTCGTCAACTAAGCTCGCTGAGAAATTGAATGATGCATGTCGTCGTTGAAATTAGCATATAACATGCACATTATCGCATTGAGCGTACAACAGCAGGCTCAGCAAACAAGTTTAGCGTTTTGTGATTAATGAAATTTCCATAACGGTCGGTGAAATTTAAAATGTTCACAGTGGGACCAGGCTGTGCATTGAATACCAGATTGGCAAATGCAATCGTTTGCAATCGATAACTGGGTTTGGTCGATAAAAGCACTAATATTAAAAACTAGCTCAACTAGTATAACAAAAAATCAATTGCTTAATTTCCTATTTTTTGTATATTTAGCTATCTCCATTTGTTAAAAAGATGTCAAAATATTTCCCCAACTGCGATGCCTACACAATTCGAAACTAGTGTGAAGGGGGCCTTTTCAATGTAAACAAACCAGCAGCGTTGCCAGACGCTGCGCCGACAAACTAGTGGCCACTCTGCCTTCTATTTACTAACAAAATTACCTGTTCTTGGCCGCACTTGCAAATCAATTAGGCCATAAATGGCATTGCAATAAATAAGTGTGCACTAACTAATGACCCATCGATAAACGGGGTTGTTAAGTACCGCGAAGAGAAGAATAGCAAACAGCTGGCGCAGACGGAGACGGAGACACATTCCGATGCACTTTCTCCCGAAGAAAACCCGTCGAGCGGCTTATTTGACATCCATTTCGATATCAATACAGAGAAATAGAGAGAAATAGCGAGAAATAGAGGCCACAGCACCAGCCACCTGTGTAGCGACAACCACCGCTGAGCTGCAACAACAACGAAAAGCTGATTGCCATCGTCTTGGCCATTTTATTGGGCATTATAGCCGCAGTCAGTCACATACCGCCCGTTCTCGAGTTCGCCACGATTTCTTAAACTGTTTGCGTTTGCAGAGCACAACACTCCAAAGAATTCATAATTTGCATATCTAGAACCCGAGAGATATATACAGAGATTCCGACTGGGCGTAGCATGTTCAGCGAACTGAGTCAGCCGCCTTGAAATTTTGTGCTTAAAGTGAGTTTCAGAAGATACCAGTTGTGGTTCGAATTTCTAATGTCTAAAGTGGATCGTTTAGCAAAACAGGATGGCTTCAATTGTGGAGAAAGTGCGTCGCATTTTGGATTCAAAAGATCTGGGCGATATCACCACGGAACTCTGTGACTTTTCTCTAAAGGAACAGAATGCCACCGCTGAGGCCCAGGGAGTACAGCCCTCATCCGCATCCGATTTTGTGCCCATTCTTGGCCAGACAGTCACCTATATTGTGGCCTGTGTGTTGATCAACGAGCACGATGAGCTGCTTATGATCGAGGAGGCCAAACAGAGCTGTGCCGGTGAGTAGGGTATATCCAAATATCGAAAACAACAACTCAAGAACCAGCTAACGTTGCAGTCTATTGATCAGGCAAGTGGTACTTACCTGCCGGTCGCATGGAAAGAGGCGAATCCATTACGGAGGCAGCCGCCCGGGAAGTTTTCGAAGAGACTGGTCTGAATGCCGAGCTGACCACTTTATTAGCGGTAGAGGCCGCCGGTGGCTCTTGGTTCCGCTTTGTGCTCACTGGACGCATCACCGGCGGGCGACTCAAAACTCCTGCGGATGCAGACGCCGAATCCATTCAGGCAAGATGGGTGCGTAATCCCAAGGAAGTACCTCTTCGAGCCAACGACATTCTCAGTATAATTGAGATTGGAAGAGCCTATCATCAGGGGCAAAAGATTGTTATTAGCCCTTCACCCTGGCATGGGAGCATACTGCCCACACGCTTCTCCCACAAACGAAACTATCTGCGGGTTCTAGCTGTAGCCAGAAAGCGAGCACACAACTCCATGAACATCCTGATCAGCGAAAAGAATGCCCACCATTTCCCCACGGTGGAACTACATCCTAATCGCAGCCTGCACTCTACTCTGCGCAAATTTATGATTGAGATTTTTGGCGCGGAGCTGCCACAGCATCGACCACATGGCTTACTTAGCGTGGAACACTTGCCGTCGGAGCAGGAGAACACCGATGGAATATGCCTAAATCTACTGGTGGCTTTCCGGCCGCCACTCGAGGAAATCTCGCTGATCGGCAAATGCATTTGGCAAGAACTGGGTGCACCACTTGACGAGATGCTGGGACGCATTGTCAGCAGCAAGAACGCATCCATTCCGCTGAACGTGGTGCGCTGAAGGCCTTAAACTAAAGTAATCTGTCCTTATTTATGGTGCAAGCAATCTATCCGTTGTTAGTTGCAATTAAAGATAGCTGATGTCTGCTATATGTCTGACTGTAAGGCAAATTTAATTCCCCTCTTTGGTGCTGAATAGTGGATTACGTAGATAAGTCTCTGCTAATCTGTCATTAAACTCCCAGAAGTAATCTTAACTACTAAACACACCCATTTCCGTTTCTTGGTGAAAGATCTAATCTGAAGTTCACTTCTTTACGTAGCGTAATCTATCTCTAGTGATTTACTTAGAAAATTGTTTACTATTATATAGTACCAATTAAAATATCCACGTTTTCATGCGAACCAAATAATCCAAAAAGCCTTAGCCCAATTTTACCTTGGACTTTCATTTAGCTATCTCATCCAGTTTAGATTCAATTTAAATGGGAAATTCAAATAGACACTTCAGATTTATTTCAATATTTAAAACAAGCTGTATAATTTATGTAGCCACTTACCCATTACGGGTATAAAGTGTATATAAAATGCTTTCTTGGAATATGTCACGAAACTAGAAACTATTGCAACAGCCGACTAGGGAACAATGGGAACAGAGAAAAATGCACGAGTTGGTTTTTAGGGACAAGGATGAACTAAGTAACTAAGTCGTCAAGCCGCGTGCTAAGTTACACCCACACCTTGTTGAACAGATCCATGAAGGAGTCGTAGATCATAAAGGTGATAGCCACATCCAGACACACACGACCCAATCTTGGCACAGTGCCCTTGTAGAAGGCGGCGGGACCTTCGTTCTTCATGATCTCCAGCGCGCAATGGGCAGTATTCTTGTATTTCGACGCTTCCAGACCCTGCATCCTCGTCTTGACCACATCCAGCGGCGTGTTGCCGAACACTGAGGCTGCTCCAGCAATAGCTCCAAACACTCCCACCACCAACTTGGGCACTGGCTTCGAGTGATCGTCACCCTTGTACAAATCCTTAAGAGACTCCAGCACGAAGAAGCGGATGGCCTGGTTGGAGCCCTGCTTCAGAATCGTGGGCGTAAGGCCCTTGTAGATACCAGATATGCCCTCCGACTTGATGATCTGGCCCACTCCGTGGGCGAATCCCTTGAACTTGGGATTGGCGCTGCGCTGATCGTTTATGAACTTCACCTTAATGGTCTCCATCGGGGTTACTGCAACGATGGCCTCACAGACACCAGCGCCCAAACCGCAAAGCAACTTTCCGGAGTTGCTTAGCTGGCCTCGGGAGTCCACGGCGTTCGATTTCAGGAATTCAAAAGCACCGAATCTGAAAGTAAATTAAAATAGGTTTTCATGTGATTTAATTCAGGTCTGTATGGATATAATCAGAAGAGTTTGAACTATAACTACTAGTAATATAACATACCTCGCGGCTGACTTGGGAATGCTGCCATAGACGAGCACACTCAGACCACGGTAGAGACCCAGAACTCCACGCTCCCTCACCGTCTTCTTGACGCAATCGAAGATGCCGTTGTACTTCTTCGCCGCTCCCTTCTCGTCCAGCTGCAGCTGTGTCTTCACGTACTCGGTGGGATAGGTGATGCAGATCTCGATGCCGCCCGTAATGCCGCCGGCGACAATGCCCTTGAGGCCCACCTGACCGCTAGCCGCAGCCGCCGCTCCTTGCTCCGTCATCCACGGACGGCGGCGGTACGGGCTGACAAGGGACGCGATGGCGGAGCGATCCATGCTGACTGGGTGTGAGGTGGGGAATTAGCTGCAAGAGAAAAAGCAAATGTATTTATTGTACTTGTCGATAAGTAATTCTCGATTCCCCAGGAATTCCACCTGATTTCTGGTCGATTGAAAGATATTTATATCCCATTGTTGTTGGCGGATCACTCTTTCTGAGTGGGTGCAGCGGTTTCAAAATATTCCCTGACATTTATATGAAAATGTGAAATTTGTTCTTCATTGATACTGATAGCTAAAATATTTCTTATCATCTATTTGAACTATTTAACTACGTTTATGACGTACAGACGTAAATCTATACGAACATCGACCTTAATTTCCGTATCAAATGTGTGCTCAAGTGCAGTTTTGCTCTATTACTTATGCAATTTCTAAGGGGAAAATAATTCCACTTGAAGAGCATATGGCTCCAATTTAATGGTATTATCAGTGCTATTATCATAGGTAATTTCCATGATGCCAAGCTCTCTTTTCTTCCTAAATATATTCATTTCTCGCTGGAAATTTTACCTTGGGGACAAGGTTCAAAACAAACTGGGAACGAAGAATCGACAAACTAACACAAACAGACCGAAAAACCAAATGTTCGAAAATCTCAATAGTGATTACTTAAGATCGGGTGATATAGTCTGGAACGGTTTGAGTGGGAGCGGTACTACTATATCAATATCAGCAGACTTGTTGGGTTCGCTCTTTGCACTTGACAAATTAATATTGTTTCACAGCGATTACATAACCTTTGCATGACCATAAATTATAATCGCACACAGTTGCAAGTTCATAATTATTAATTTTATGCCGTTGTTTAAGCCACTTTCCGTATCGGTCTGGAAATCTGGATAAACATAAACAATACCCACTGATAAGTCGGCACTGGAAAGTGTCTACCGACTTCCACTCACACACACAAGCGGTTGATTAAGCCCACACCCACACACTCAAAGCGCACTGTGGTATGGCAAAAGTTGCAATTTATTTTTCCCCATGAAGCTTGGCTATCGGATTTTGTTCTCTGACTACTCACATTAGAATATAAAAACCGAAAAAATTATAATTTTGGAATGCCCAGGCAGCGGTGAGGTGAAGTGGCAGGAGAGCACGGCGATCGTGGACAGCGGTTGAATCTCAACTGATCGCGGGGCTACGAAAAAATTCCAATTTCCAATCGACTAGCGAAAGCGGTACAGTGCTCCCTAACACTAACGGACTTTGGATGGCGAGCAGTCTGAACAACTCTATCCAATCATTTTTAAGATTACAAGCTCTTTTGAATACCAAACATTTGGGATACAGGCATAAAATCGATAGACCGAGCACTCTGTTCTTTACAGTTCACTGCATCAGGAGCCGCACTGTAATTCCAATGGTCCGCGTTTTGTAAACAACAGCACTTCAGCGGTATCCACTCTCCCCGCGCTCAGTAATATACACAAAAAAATATTCTTATTTCCTAGTTAAATTTGGAAAGTCTCAAAGAAATTGAAAATACAAGAAATGATTGGGCCCAAAAAGAAACGTATATCAGGTAAATTTTAAGAACGGAATTTAGGAATTTTTACATTGGTATTGAATTTTGTTAACGAAACGTGTGTAATAATATCTTTTCCTGTGCAGAGAGTGAGTGGAAAGAGTGAGCGCCAAAGTAACGTTTTTTTTGCTGACACCGCAGTGCAGATCTCTCTCTCTCTAATCGGAAACCCGTTTGTCCAGCAACAACAAAGTGGACAGAGCTTTTGGGGCGGACTGGAAAAGCTCCGGTAAAGAACAACAATAAGAACATTTGATTTTGTATTTTGATGTTGGGGACGCCGCAAAGTAGACCAACTATTTTTCTCAGCGATTACACAATGACTTCACACACACACGCACACAATGCGCGTAGCTCACGCACACCCACGAGATACATAGTTATATCCAGGTTATCAGAGCATTTAGTGCTATACTAATAAAATCGATACCGTCGCTTTGTCTTCTTAATTTATAACGCCCAATTCACCAACAATTAAGTGTTTACTATTTACCGACTGACGCAACTCGGCGCCATGTGGATACACGTAGTCCTAACGCTCCCGGCAAACGGCTAGTGTTAACAAAAAAAAAACCGGTAAAAGTGTGGCCGTGCTACCAACAGTCCGCTGATAACGTCGGCGCCTGCGCCAGTCCCCAAACGCAGCAGCTGCCACCCACACTTGTGGCACGCACTTGCAACAAATCCCATTCACATGCACAGTGCAAGAGCAAATGAATCGCAAGGGAAACGCATGGGCGGAACTTACTGAAAGCAAATCAGAGAGCATTTTGAGCATCAGACACAATTGCAGTAGAACTTCAATAAATTATACCAAAATTGGCACATGTACTAACTATTTTTCTATTCTCGATCCCTGTGTTCTTTAAAAAGATGGGAACTTTTGGTTTCCCAAAGATAACTTACAAGCCAAGCTAAAAGAAAAAAAGCTGGCAATAGTTCGGTTCACAGAGGAGACACTGTCTCATTTACTTTTTCGGCATACCAGCTAACACCAGTTTACTTGCATACTCACAAAACCGCCAATTTGGGGAATAGTTAGAAAAAGCCCAAAATATTAATTTAGAACAAAAACTATGATAATTTTGATTGCTGGGTCAAAGCACACATTTCGTCATGAACTGTGACCGAAATGCAAATGAAAGTCAAATGTTTTGAAAGCACTTCATGTAATAGTTTATTTAAATGCATTCGGAAATTGGTCCCCCGGTACGAGGAGTATTTCCACATACACCGACTGCGGGTGTACTAGTGCGATTATAAATGAACATTGGGCAGAGCGTGCAATTCCATTTGATTTAGTTTAGTTCACTGTTAGTCAACAAGAATAGTGGCTATCTGAGTTAGTTTTAATGCATGTAGTCGTATGGGAGTAGTTTTAGATCAGTCTCTTAGACGCTCTTGTAGACGCGCACGCACTTCACGCTGCCGATGGTGAGGGTCTGTGGAGGGTAGGGATTGGATCAGTTAGGTTTGGGGTGATAATAAAGAGGGTATAGAAAGTGCTTACGGTGATCAGCTCGTTGTCGGTGAACTCGCGGACGATGGTGGTGGGCTTGTCGCCCTTCTGCTCCTGGGTAAGCTTGTTGCCATCCAGGGTGATGATGCTCTTGACGTTACGACCGTCCAGGGTCTCCTCGTCGAACTCAACACCCAGCTTGAAGCTGATGGCGGAGGTCTTGAAGGTGGAGCTGGTGGTCAGGGTGTAGGTATCTCCCTCCAACGTCACCTCCACGGTGGGGCTCAGGCTGTTGCCCATCTTGCGCGTCACCAGACCAACGCCTGCAAGTAGAAAGGCAAAAAAATCCAAGAAATGAGTGAAAACCGTGAGATGGGAATGTAAGGAAATCAAAAATCGCAC